CCAAGAAAACATGCTGCCTGCGTTGCCCGCCCCTGGGCGCAGCCCCTTAAATAAGAAAGACAGCAGAACGAACAACCTTTGAAAACCTCTGCATGTTGCCCTTGTACCCTTCGGGAATCGATGACAGTTGATGATAAATGATGAAGATGAAGAATATGATGCAAAGTGAGAAACATGAAAGCCAGTGGATATGATGAAACTGATATACAAGAAACGGTGGAAATTTATTATATGGTGAACCATAATGAAACATTACGAACAATTCAAAAAAATGTCAGACGAGGTGAAAGACTATGAAACCGGACTACTCCTGGCAAAAATCATGAGCATGAGAACGTATGATGACAAAGGACGAAAAATGATAAACAATATGAACAATTATGAAAATGATGGAAATGATGCACGATAAAGGAGCATGATGAAAGTTCATCTAAACATGTACTGTACATTGATGGCATACATGAAAACTCATGGAGTATGATGAAAGGTGGGGAAATTTCATAAGAAGTGATGAGATATGATGAGATGTAATGTGATCAAGCATGATGGAAAGCTACGAAAATTATGAAAACCATGAAACGGATGCAAACGATGAAAGATGATAAAAACAATGAGACATGATGAAATGGCACAATACTTTAAATACGGTGACAATGTTTAAATAGTGTCGAAATAAGATGTGATGCAAGAGACATGGTGAAAGATTATGAAAAGCAGGAAGATGATAACAGTGATGAGTAACAACGGAAGGTGATGATATTGATATATGATGAAAATGCCGGAACATGAAAAATGACAAACTAAGCACAAAACGACGGGAAACAATAATCAAATGAAACATTGCAAAATGATGAACATGAAAACATATCACAATAATGAAGATAACTTATGGAAATGACAAAATCTACAGAATATGAAAATGATGACATGTGATGAGCCAATATAAGGAATGCTGGAAAACAATGTAAGCCCACATAAGAGATGATGGAAAGAAATGACAATACATAACAATGATGAAAACTGCAGAATCTGAAACACGATGGAACATGCTTAAAAAGCCATGGAACATGATGCTAAATTACGACCTACCTCCCTTCCTTGTTTCCTCGCTTCATTTCCTCCTTCCTGGCGTGCTTGCTTGCTTCTTGGCTTCTTTCCTTCCGGGATCTCGCGAATTGAGAACGCTCCAAGCGAAGGCTCAATTTCAACCCAGAAATCCGCGAAGCCAGGGAGCCGGGAAGAAAGCCACGAGGACTGGGAGCCTTTGGCTCTGAAAAAATACTGAGAGTAGGCATTCCGAGCAGAAACATAAGCCATAAACCTCTCTTACCTACGTGTGGTTATATCATATATCCTATCGCGTTAACGCTTTCGCGACCTTAGCGACTTAAAGGCTTTAGCGCTCCAAGGGCCTTAGCGCCCAAATGTTTCGGCGCGTTACAGCCGTTGAGGTCTTGGAGCCTGAGGGTCGCTCGGGCCTGAGCACCGAAGAACTTTACCTCATTTACAACTTAACCCTGAACTTTAATTCAGGGTCTAATTTAAAGTTGAACTTTCAGAAGGACCTGTCACGTCCCCTTGCATAGATGTCTGTACAATGACTTCCGTGTTGGTCATACTGGAGTGTTGGAAGGTGGATGTCGTAGATGTCGATTGTGAAGTCATTTTGGCCAAGATAATCCTGGATCTACAAATGGGTTCCTGCTTTGGTGTCTCTCCCCTAGGGTTCCCCGTTTCAGGCTTCCCCTTTAGGTTGCTGCTTTAGGCAAGCCTTTCTTTGGGCTCCTGCTTTAAGGTTTATTGTTCAGGATGTTTGCTCCTGCTTGAAAGATTACTTTTTGCATGTCTTCGTAGAGTTCACGACCTAGCCTCGAATCGCCCTTGCCGCAAACGTTTTTTGATTAAGGCATGTATCAACTTGCTTCTGAGGTAAGAATGTTACCAGATGAAGGTAAGAGGAAGAGCCACATTTCCCTGCGGATGTGAGACCCAACGTAACGTCACAAAGTCGCTTGTACCTTCTGCTTGGAAGCCTCCTTGTTGAAGCAGGTTTGAAGGTAGAACTTTGTTCGTCAAGTAGGGAGAACTGTTGCTATGCTTTCTGAAGGTGTGGGATCTCACGGGCAGGTTGGTTTTATCCCGTGCTTGACAAAGCGACGTAAGAGGTAACGCTTGCCTTCACGCCCTTAGAGCCTTTTATGTAACACCTCAAAGGCCTTAGTGGCTGAGGTGCTGAGGGCTTATAAGGTTCAGCCATCAATCCCAACTGAACCTAATCTGATGGCCTGAGCCATAGACCCTAAACTGGAGCAAGCCGCGGGAGCTGCCTTGACAAGCAGCGACTGGTACCGTGTAGTGCCAGGTTGTGACTGCTGATCATGTCGGATTTGTGTTTCCGGCACCGCTGTACAGTACAGGCAGTCGCGTATTCGCGCCTCTCTGAGAGACGCTGGCTCGCGCTTGTCAGGTGGAGGCCGAACTCAGTGATCACTTTTTCCGCAACGAAGGCCAGGGGCCCTCCTTTCCCTGAGGATTTGCAGGACGTAGTTTCAACGCAGTTTGATGTGTTCCGTGCAACACCTAGATAGGCCCTACCAGAGCTGCGGTCGCGCATTTTCTCAGTCCAGGGGTTTCCAGTAGGAAGGCTTGTGGCGTTCAGGTTCTCTTACGCCTTTGGGGGTAAGGTGGGGGCAAACAGAAGGATGGAGTCCAAAGGGCTGTACGAACACCAGGTTGCATCCAGGAAAAAGAAGTACTCACCTCACCAGCTCCCCTCCAGATCCTTGGTCAATCAAGCATATATAGAGGACCTCAAGCACAAATAACACCAACCCCCTTTGCCCCTCTCCCATTGTCGTCTTTTCTACTCTTCTCTCCAACCTGCAGGCAGCTCTGTCATTTTTGCATTCTGAATCCCGAAGCTGTAAGCCGGAATTCCAGCCCCAAACCCAGCCACTGACCGTGTGCGCCCCACCAGCAAATGAATGTTCTCCGATTCAACTCGACTCGTGCTCATATTTCACTTCCAAGACCGCGCAAGCGCAAAATACGCTCATGCTGGACGTGAACCCTCAAATTGGGGCCTCGAAAGGGCACTTCTTGACGCAAATGCCACAACCTGCCAGACACTGTTGCACTGGGAAGGTCTGACTGGCTCCCAAGACCCAGACCAATACACAGCGATTCAGATATCCAGCTGATCTTGGAATCTTTGCTGACCTGCTGCTGAAAAGCCATGCCAGCGATAAGACAAAAATCATGAAATGCATTTTAATTCAAGCCGTCACCTCTACACAGAGCTTGCCCGTCCGCACGACAGGGCAATACTTTTTACATTCTTGTTTGCACCTGCCAAGAAAGCAGCGGCTGACTTCGAAGACGACTCAAAGCAACTTTGTCATGCCGAGATCGCTTCTTGGGCTTGCAGCGGTCAGTGCTCACGATGGCGATTCGGAGCTTTCTCTCATCCTCTTCCACTGCAGCTTTCTTTCCCATCCTGACAATTTACAAGTTACGTGTAGAGTTTTGCTCAGGTTCAGAACACGAGCCTGCCTACAAATGCTGCTTGCAGGTTAGGCATGACACAACCACCGAACAGCAACAAGAATCGAGCATCTCAGTTCGCGAACAAGCAATAGTTCATCCCAGTGCTGGATAACCCGGACTAATGACAAGGAGGTCGTCGTGGCGTAGCATCACGGCTGCGGCGTGACTTACAGGTGCTCGTCAAGCCGCAATCCCCCAAAGTCGCATTTTGGAAGAGGTCTACTTGCAATGGTTTATCTGCCAGCAGGCCGCGAGGTGATGCATGCCCTCCATGCTTGAAAATGCATGGCATGGATGTGAGAATGTACACACTGCACATAACCCTGGACAGGCCGGTGCAGTAAACTTGAAGGAAAAAAATGAATCAAACAGTGCCCAGCGCGTATCTGCCCCGCTTCTCTCAACCATCCATGTCTTCTGGACATGATTAATCTGTACCCCCAAATGCCTGTGCCAGCATTTCTCGTGAGCCCACCCCAAGATGAACTCCTGAAAGGTCTCGAGCCCATGAGAACGCAAAATCTTGAAGCACAACCCAAATTTGGAAAAACTGCCTACTGGACCGCTTTCGTTGGATTGTGACGGAGCAAACTGCAACGAAAGCCTAGCCACGCTTGTATGACGTTTTTTGTTAACTGAGGGACTGCTTGGGATCCTTTCATTAAGATGTTTTGCTTTGTCATCAAAGTCGTCCAACGGTGCTGTCGGCTACACTTTGGAGGCCATGGCTGAGGGTATGTCAAATTGTGGATGGCTCGTTACTTTGGGGAAGGCACATTCTACCCATCTGCTGAATACGCTCTAGGTTGTTGGAGAAGCTATCTGTCCCACACTCTATGGGGATGCTTGCGTCAAAATGGTAGCCTAGAAGCAGACCTCGATGTTTCTTCACGGGAATCCTGGGCCTGCCCTGTCACTCGAATCTGCAAGCAACTCTTCTATTCTTTTACTAAGTTGCTTCCCAGGCTATTCCCGTATTTCTCAAACGCGGTCCCTTTGGTTTGAGATGCGGCCCGTGTTGCCTACCCACAACACGCCTGCCGCTTCATTTTCAGCTTCCGGAAGCTCTGAACTCTGATCTCCCGTATATACATGTTCAATACCTCTTTCTGAAAAAAGGGCTCAGATTCCAGTTACTCACAGATGCCTTCAGACCCAGGACCTACTGCCTTGAATGCCAGGACAATGGACCTTCTTGAGACAAGCAAGAATCCATGGGGGCCTCAGTTCGAGAACCGGGCAACATCGCTTTGAGGGCCCGCCGCTTTTGACTGTCGTCGTTCTCCAAAGTGTTTCCAAGGGTCCCTCGCATCCGATTTTTTGTGCGCAGCGTTCTCTGACTTTTCTCTGAAATTTCTTTGGCTGTGGCCCTCAGATTTTTTGACAACCTCCTTCACCTTGCCGTGCATTCAGGCACGCAAGAGGAGTGGCTCCAAGATGTGCCAACATGCGCCAAAAATCCCTGGAACTTGATGGAAGGAGCTGGCAGAAAGAAAACATTGCCAGATGTATGAGATCTCAGTCAAGCTCACATGTCACGGACAAATCTGCAAAGTCAAGCTCTGCCAACTGTGATTCCCTTCCGTTGGCCTGTCTGCTGCGCCACTGGCAGCTCAGGGTGATGTGCCAACTGCAACTTTTGCTCAGGCTGGATAGTTGAAACTTCAGCTAGAGGAATTCCTTCTCTGCTTAACCAAACAAGAGGGTGGTATCCAAACTGCAGGGCTTTTGAATGTCACTGAATTGTCTGAACCCAAATGCTGCAGTGCCGGAAGCACAGGCACAGGTCTTGATGCAAATGAAAGGCCTGATATCTTGTCATATTATCTCGAGATGTCTTGGGCAACGGTCCTGAGGTTGTATCCTGCATGCAGCTACTGCCATTTCCGGCTGCTGAAAGCACATCCGCGGGGTTCGCTGTGCGCCGTGCAGAGCACCTGCACAGATACCTTACATGAAGGCTGGGCCTTGCCAGCCGCTGTTGTGCATGGGCCTTCAATGCGCATTGAAGGCAGCAAGCAGAAGAGTCATCGTAAAGGGTTGGCTTTTGAACTCTATGACTCCTCTGCACGGGCAACACTCAGATCAAGTCACTTGCCGTCAAGTTTTACGACGAAAGACAGCTCCTCCAAGCCAGCCTCCACAGGTCGAGAAAGTTCTGGTGTACCAGTGTGCCACTTACCACTTGAAGCTTGACCGAGGATGTCAGACTAATTTGGATGCAGAAGCCTGATTGCCAACATTGATCGATGTACTTGTTCAGAAATACCTGCATGCACACGCCTTCTGAAGCTGGCTGGTGTTCCTGCACTTTTGTTTATGATTGCTCGCAGGCAACTTCCAGCTGCGCTACGTTGCCAGAATAAAGGGTCACGTATGCAAATAGTCCAAGACCTCGCTTGCATTGCAAACGCGCAGAGCATCAGAAGCAACCAACGAAGTAAAACCGGATTGCCTTCTTTGGCAGCCAGCCATCTGAAGGCTTGTCATCTGGGCGCGTGATTCGCTCGGACGTGGATGCACCAATCAACCTTGCATGACAGGCTCAATGGGCAGTCTTGTCCTGGTGTGGTCATAAAGGCCGCTTCTCTGGCAGGTCAGCGCACAACTTCAGACATCGAACTTTTGAAAAGTCAAAGAATCCTATCCCAAAACCAACCGCAAATGTGCGACCTTTAGCCACGGCACCATTTCTTTGCGATCATCTTGCAGCGTGTTTTGCGACACAGTCTTGAAATCATCAGCGGACAACAAAATGCTTGTTGCTGTGGGCGCTTGGCGATGATGCATGAATCTGACACAGAATGCAGGCTATGAATAGAGACATGGCAAATGACAAATCATGTTTGGGCTTGTGAAGACTTAGCTCCAGGCTCGCCATACACCCATCCTCTTTCAGCCTGCAGAATTTCATGAAGTCACCACGTTGAAAAACACAAGCCCAGCTCTGGAGAAAACGAGCACCACCTCCTTGGAGACGGCAACAACTTCGCCCTGAGTGACACCCAAGGTGGCCTGTGAACGCGAGCTACAACAAGACTTTGACGAAGATAACTCATAGACTCCAAGTAAACCAACTACGGACAGTGACTTTACGGGAAAAAAAAAAAGATCAAGACGGCCTGTCCCTCGGCGGGCCAGTCAACGGCCACGCGACACAAGCTGACCCGCTTGACAACTGCCTCACCAAAAGAAACAGCAACAGAAGCACAGGGAACCTCAAACGCCACCATCCGCTACCACCGGCCTGTGGAATCCAGCCTTCGTTCGAGGTTCTTTCCAGCTTTTCGCCGACTACCCTGACGGTTCCTGCACTTCAGCCCTTCAGCCTATCAAAGGATCAAGGCCAACCTTGCCTGCGTATACCCAGCCATGAGCTGCGCGGTACGAGATGCTCACCAGCGAGCCCTGAATGTCAGGCATGATGTGGAAACAGGCTCGCTCCGACCCTCTGCTGCCTTTTTGACGAAGAGCTGTCCTGACCTGCAGTGCAGATGAGCACTGATCAGTCCAAGCAATGAACAAGGATCTGAAGATAAGCCAACTGCCCAGGCTGTTCGGGTGCCCAGTCATGGATTGTAATGTGAAGCCTCAGCTCCATCACGAGAGCTCGGCTGCAGAAACAGCAGATCTTCGAGCATCGGACAGACCGTGTGACTGGTTGTCCTTCGCCTTAACAGCAACAACAGTAAAAGCAACAATAGCAACAGCAACAACAGCCGCAAGCTAATGCAGGCGTAGCGGCCGGAGTGCCATTCTGCGATACAGTTGGGGTTAGATCCGTCTCTTCTTTTTCTTCGACCTGTCATGATTTCACTTGCAGTCCACTGGCGACACAGCTGGGCCTGCAACTGCCATAATCTCCAAGCTGCATCTGGCCCACTGGAAACATCGCAAAATACTTCTGTCAGGTAGATTCCAGGGGCCCGCAGACAGCGTTCTCTCCAAGAAACCCCCGGATTCCTTCGCTATTGCCTTCTGAAAGGTCCTTTTCAGCAGATGTCCTAAAAGGGGGTCGTCTAGGAATCTTCCCAAGTTTGTGCAGCTACATGCCAGAACATGTCATATTGAGCATGACCGCCTAGAGTGAACTTCAGTGCACATTCAAATCTTCCTCCAGCGCGCATCGTTTTTGCATTCCCCACATTGTTTTTCCCTGAGGCGAAACGCAACATTGTATATTTGACGTTTGCCCAAGGCTGCACCATGCAGCAGAAAATGTACAGCGGAAAACCTGCGCTGTCCAAGGTCGCTTGAAGCGAATGTCTGGACCAGGATCTTTTGAGAACTGCTGCTGTCCGTCATAGGTATTATGACCTCAGATGGGTTGACCAGATGAGGATGTGTAACCTGACATGACAAGCTACACGTGAGCATTCGCCACGTCCCAATAATTCCTCCAGGCTAAGCCATGGAAATGCTGTGGTAGAGGTTGAGTTTCGCAAGCCCTCAAGAAAACTGACAGAGCTCCTGGCCTTGGGAGGTGTTGCCGTAGGTTCCCCAGCCACCTGCACTTCACGGCACGGCTTCAAAAGGATTGAGTTGCTGCCTTTTTTCTGATTTCTTTTGTTTATAGTCGAGCAGCTGTGGACTTCGAAAATGAGAACTGTCACAGGATCCTGGTCTTGGGACTGCCATAGGCATCGCGATCTGCCTGTTTTATTCTCTGTTTCCTTGCGCCATTCCTGGATTCTTCCCCTACCTTCCTTCCTTCCTTGCTTCCTTCCTTTCTTCCTTCATTCATTCGTGCGTTCTTCTGTTCTTTCCTTCATCTTTCCTTGATTCCTTCCTTACCCGCTGGCTCTACCACCTTCCTCCCCTGCTTCTCGGCGACGTCTCCAAGAAATGCAGGTATGAAACATGGAGGGCATGAATGATTTCCCTCTCAAATCTCCAGATCACAAGGCAATCTGAGTGTCCTGCCCTAATCTCAAACAAAACTGTGTTTCCTGGTAAACCCGGCGGGTTTGGAAGGCTAGGTAAAAGCACAAAAACCAAAGCCGACAAAAAAGCAAGAGATCAAAACAGAGGCCCTTCAACTCGCAGTTTGGCCTCCCACGCAGCATCAGGCTCCGCGCTTGCCTGCGCAGTGTCATGTCGAGAGCGAATCAAACCTTTGACCGTGAGACACATTCTTTTTGCTGTCGCAGCTCACCACTGCACATTCTGCCAATGATCCACAGATCTAACTTTCGTGTCTCGTGTTATGTTGACGGACGGCCGTTTTCCACAGGCCCACAAAGCCACCTCAACGCCCATCCTGCCTGCACCACAGCTTGCTGGTGTGTGTAGCGCTGCGTTGTCACAGAACTCCAAGTCACGGAACAAGGACGGTGACAATGACTCATGTCTGGTAGAAAGCGACATGCATCACAACAAGCACACATGATTTGGATGATGCATGAACGAAGTCGACAGCAAATGGGAAACATGGTTGTGGTTGTGAGGCGGCATAGTCAGATCTAGGGGCAAACATTGACATTAGCCGCTTGTCGAATGTAGAAGTTGTCTTCTTGGCTAAATTATACACGTACAAATGTGCACTGGGTATGGATTTTGGACACAATCACCATTGCCAAGGCTTCATGCATGAAGTGCATTTATAACCCTGAGCCCTTGCTATCTTAACAACCCGGATTCCGGAATCTTTGTGTTCGTCAAAGGCTTCTGCAGCTTTAAGATTTGGGCTTAAAACCTGGTTGTGACAAAGGGGTCTTTGATTTCCGAAATCAGGCATTGGCTGCAGCACTGACTGACTGGTCGTGATATAGGCATGGGGCTTCTCGTTGTAAACGGGACTCGTCGCAACTCCTGCCCCCATTCTTCCATTACCGACGTGTCTCTGGCCGTGAGCCTTGCTGCAAGGGTGCCATGATTTCACAATTCAAACATGATTCGAAAGTATAGACCTGATTCTCATGATGCGGTCCTTCTTCAAGGTTTTCAAGACAGGTATGCAACCTCTTTCCATGGTTCTTGAAATGCAGCCCGATTGTATGCTGGTGATCCCTTTGAATGAGGGGTGCGCCTGCTGGCGCATGCTGACGCGCGCTGCGAAGTCCTACAGCCCTTGCAGAGGTCCCTTGCAGACCGCCTGCCTGTAGGACTTGGCTTGTTTGCTGGAAACAAACTCCGCAACAATAGAATCAGCACCTCGAGGTGCATCAAACCTGTCTGAGACTATCGCCCATCTAGAAAAACAATCAAGCTATGCCATTTTCGTGAGTGAGCTTTACCAAGCATCAAGAGGCCCGCTATGTGTTATGATGTGATGTTTCCAACATTGAACGTCTTCCTAAGCTTGGCATCAAAAATCGCATAGTGGGAACCCTTGCATCATGGATGGGCGTATGGTAGGAAGCCTTCAGCATCCCAGTCCTTCATAGATCCGATGAGCGAAAGTCAAGCGTAAGTCACCCTGGCCCCTTTCCAACAAATGCATACCCTGATAATGGCTTCAGCAAGCAGGCATCCTGCAGTATCCAGCTTGCAATGTGTCGAAAAACGGGAGATACTCCTTCAAGTTCTAACTGCGAGCTCACCGCCACCCCCATTATATAGTACAAAACAAAGCGCGGAAGAAAGGGGTGAGTAAAGCAATCACAAATCAAAATTGGTTTACACAATGGGGGGGTCTGGGGGGGGTCTTCGTCAAGTCATGAGGACCTGAAAAAAAAGTGATAAGAGGGAGGGAGGGGGGGGGGGACCACTGCCAATTCTTTTCATAAGGGGGGGTACTCAACATGTAAGGAAGTGGGTTTTGTTGTCCATGCTCTTTGGAATCAAAGATATGAAGGTCTCAAAGAAGAACAAAGGAAGCATGCCCATGAACAGTAGAAACACATTGTGTATATATCAGCATATAAACACGCATAAATATATATATATACACATGCTATGCTATCATGCCTCATGTTGTTTTTTAGTTTGCACCTCCCTTGCACCAGTGCTTGGCACCATGTCCCTGTTGCTGCGGCGTCCTAGGACTCTGCTGTGCGGATTAAGCACCAGTGTCTGGTACCACACCCCCGTGGCTTGGTACCAAGCATTCATCCTACAAGTAACATAATCTCTCCAGGACGCAGCCACGGGGACATCGTACCAACTACTGGTGTGAGGATGTGTAGACAGAAAACATGAGGCATGTTAGAAAGTGATTATGCATTGCACATACTCATATACATATACATATGTATATGTATGTATGTATATATATATAAATGTAAATATATATATATATATGGTGCAGTGCTGGCCAGCCCCCCCCCTCCCCCCCACCCAATGGTATGGTGTTGGTATAATGTCCCACAGTTGCCAGCATTCTGGTACGTGACTGTCACTTTGTGGCAGCAAGACCTGCATGTTTGACGGGTCAGGCAGATCCTCCTCCTCCCCTGTGGTTGGGTGGGTTTGCTTCTTCCATGACTGTCAAGTAATTCAGATCTTTCACCCCCTGCCCCCCCCCTGTGGTGT